AAGCCAGGCTGATGGCTGCCAGTACAGCAGTGGTGGTGGGAGCCTCTCCTGCCTCCTCAGCAGCGCTAAGGATGTCCGACTGCAGCATAGGTCTGCTCCCTGCTGGCAAGTGGACATCCCCCGAGGGCTGCCGGGCTGCCAGAGGGATGTCTGATTGCCATCTTAGGCCCAATCCCCCGGGGAGCGGGCCTAAGCCAGCAGGTGGTCATCCCCTTAGGGGTCTCAGACTTCGAGAGGGCACAGGCAGGGCTGAGGTACTTCCCCTCCCCCCGAGTGCACAAATTTTTGTGCACCGGGCCTCTAGTATATATATATTAGAGGCCCAGTGTATAAAAATTCATGCACTGGCGGGGAGGGGGTCCCTCAATCCGGCCTACCCCCTTTTACAATCTGGGAGCCCTCAGGGGATGTCCTACTGACAGCTTAGGCCTGCTTCCCCGGGGGAGTGGGCCTAAGCCGCAGTCTGGCCTCCATCTGCAGGAGCAACTGGCCGATCAGGGGAAGGCGATTCCCCCATCATGCCTCTGCTGCTGCCACTGCCGGCCACCATGGCTGCCTGAGCCTTGGCCCTCGCAGCCACCACAGCCTGCCTGAGCCTCGGGCCGGCCCTGGCAGTGGCAGCCACCATCCACGGCTTGCCTGTGCCTCGGGCAGCCACTGCGGCTTTGTCCAGAAAGACGTCCACCCTAATTAGCATATTACCCTTTTATTAGTATAGATTCACTCCAACCTTCTGAGACCATCTGCTAACTAATAAACCTATAACCACTGCTCCTGCATCAGGCTTGGTTTGATTAAAGGGGTAAAGAGAGAGAATTTGGGGTCCACTGGCCTAGGTATAGCATCAAAATTATACATTTTAAAATAATGCAAAATAAATAAATATTTTTAATATGAAAAATGCATTTATTAAAAACATGAGTAGCAGCTGAAGCTACTAGACACTTACATGCCAAGTTTCTGGAGGGTTTCTCTTCGTTTCTCCTCATGTCCCCTCCATTCCCGACTGATGAATGGTGGGACGGGATCTGCCTTGCTCCAATATAGAGAATGTCTTGGGTAATGGATCAGGTTACTGAACATAGTCCTAAACCTGGGAACTTTCCTCTAATGTTAGGCAGGGAGAAAAAGGACAAAATTATGCCATCAGATTTTCTAAAGCCTTTTACTTACATTGCAAACTTTTTTTAAAGGGTAAAAAAAGAGTGTATCTGGCACAGAAAGAAGGGTTATTGGTATATACATAGAATATCTCTGGAAGAATACCCAAGAAACTAATGACAATGAATGATTATGTAAAGGGAACAGAGGGCTAGAATTTACTTCATATTGTATACGCTTTTGTACTTCTTGAATTCTTTTAATACAGGTATATATCACTTTCCCCATTTAAATAAATTAGGTTATATTGAGTCCTTTATTCATTATTAGAGGCCTGGTGCACGAAATCCATGCACAGGGCGGGCAGGTCCCTCAGCCCAGCCTGCACCCTCTCGTAATCCGGGACACCTCGGGGGATGTCCGACTGCCAGTTTAGGCCTGATCCTGCAGGGACATCCCTCTTGCAATCTGGGACCGCTGGATCCTAACCACTCACCTGCCTGCCTGCCTGCACACCCCTAACCATTTGCCTGCCTGTCTGATCACCCCTAACCATTTGCCTGACTGCCTGATCCCCCCTAACCCCTCACCTGCCTGCCTGATCACCCCTAACCACCTCTGCCTCGGCCCCCACACCTGGGACCCAGGCTTCACTCGTCTGGCAAGCCGCGGGCAACCAGGACCTGGGCAGCTTTGCCTGGGCAGGCACCCGGGACCCCAGGCAGCACTGCCTGGGCCCCAGCTTTGTCAGGAAGGACATTCAGAATGACATCCGGAAGACATTCTGTCTACCTGGTCTAATTAGCATATTACCCTTTTATTAGTATAGACTAGTTAATTAATCCCCACACTGGGCCACAAGTATCAAGATGTCTTTGTCCCCTAGTAATCATGGCAAAGTAATTTCTGTAGAACATAAAAACCAATGGAGATTTGTTTTAAAGATTTGTTTTAAATTGATTTTTAAAAAAATATATTGTATTGATTTTTTACAAAGAGGAAGAGAGAGGGATAGAGAGTTAGAAACATCTATGAGAGAGAAACATCGATCAGCTGCCTCCTGCACACCTCCTACTGGGGATGTGCCTGCAGTTTTTTAGAGAGAGAGGAAGGAAGGGGAGAGAGAGAGAGAGAGAGAGAGAGAGAGACCTTGATGTGATAGAGAAACATTAGTCGGTTACCTCACGTACACCCCCGACCAGGAATTGAATAGTTAGGGCTAAATTGATTTTTAGAGAGAGAGGAAGGAACAGGGAGAAAGGGAGAGAAACATCAATATGAGAGTGATACATTGATCAGCTGCCTCCTGCACGCCCCATACTGAGGATCAAGCCTACAACCCAGGCACGTGCCCTGACCAAGAATCAAACCAGCAACACTTTCAATGCCCAACCAATTGAGCCACACCAGCCAGGGCGATAAATCAGTCTTATCAGCACAGCCACACTAGATGGCTCAGGTTCATTAAACTGTCTTAGGGAATGAATTAGACCTACCAGTCTGCTTCGACTCAGGAATGCTTGGACATTTGCCTGTGTGTGGTCTTGCTCACTTGACACAGTAAACAACGGATCTGCAAAATAAACAATAAGGTAGTATAAGGAACAGAACTTATCTACTCCTAGTCTGAGAACAATGGCAAAGCAATGTAATTTCTTAATTGGAAAAAAATTAGAAAATTTATATCTTGCCTAACTCCACAACAGCTCATAGCCCTGTTACTCTACCACAGTGAGAGTCTGTTAGATGCATTTCTTTTCTATGCATTCCAAAATCAGTTTATAGACCTGAATACAAAAAAAAAAAAAGGGACATATTCTCAAGCACCATAACCTAAACATGCTTTCTTCTATTCTATGAACAAACCAGTTTCCAGTCTGGGAAGCTCAGGAAATAGTGCAAGAAGAAAGAACACTATGCCCATTTGCAAGTGACAGAAACAATAAATTTGGGCACTCTCATTTCAGTACACAGGGAAAATAGGAACTCTTAACAGTATGTCCTCTCCAAATGGGTCAACATGTTAAGAAAATGTCATTCTCTGATAAAAGATAAATAAGATCAGCTATCTTCAGAATTCACCCCTTAAGTTTACAGGTATGCTAATGACGGGACTAAGTTATTTCTCCAAAGTTCAACAACTGATTGATATATTGAAAATAGTATGGGGTAAAGGTAAATTTCTATTCATACTCATTGAAAAGATACCACCGGGTCTATGGTTGCAATTGTGTTATTTACCTGAAATTAGTTTAGCCTGAATAGCTTCTGAGTCTGAATAATAAATAATAAACCATTCTCCTCATATTCCCATAAGGAGTGTGAAGACATGATATCTAAGAAAGATTCTTGCCATCTATAGAAGATACTGCATGATTTGTGACTACACATTCTGCAACATATCCTACAACTGTGATCATAATCAGTGTTCAATAAGCAGTAGAGGGAGCATTTGAGGTCTTGATCCCCAGCGTATGTTGTCAGTTTGACTCAAGTAAATTCATAAATATTCTCAAAATGGGGGGGAGGGGGGAACAGTAGAAAGGCCTCTGAGATGCCCATGTAATAGCAGTCACCAGGTATCACTTGCTTACTCCTAGACAGATATTAAGTGCTTTACATGCAACCAGAGGCCCAATGCATAAAATTCGTGCAAGGGGCTCGGTCCCCTGCTCCGCCCCCCCAGCTTCATCCTGAAGGTCGTCAGGAAGGACGCCCGGAAGGATGTCCAGTCTAATTAGCATATTATGTTTTTTATTATTATAGATATTTGACTTAACCTTCACAAAAACCCAATGAGGTAGGTGCTAGGCTTCCATTTTATAGGTGAGGAAACAGGCTTTAAGAAGTTAGCAACTTACTATTTGGCAGTTAGGATTTGAAACCCAATCCTCTGGCTCCCAGGCTTAATAGTATAAAAAGCCCATGAATTTTATGGGGGAAATTTTCCCATGGATATCATGAGAGAGCCCCTCAGCCAATTTACCCATATTGTAGAAACAGTTCTAAAAAGCCCAGGAAGCCCTGACCGGTTTGGCTCAGTGGATAGAGCATCGGCCTGCAGACTGAAGGGTCCCGGGTTCGATTCTGGCTAAGGGCATGTACCTTGGTTGTGGGCACATCCCCAGTAGGGGATGTGCAGGAGGCAGCTGATCAATGTTTCT